CAGTAATTCAAGTACTGAATCTCGTATACGTTCCCTTTACGATGCGGAAATGGCGTATAATCCTCTTCGAATTTACTCATTTTACCGCCAAATGGAGTGAAGATCACTTGAGCTAGCTCTGCTTCTTGTTCTTGCAACATTCTCCATATCTTCGAAAGCGCAGTCTTCGGTATTGGTTCTTGAACGAAATCTGATTTAGCCTTGAAAGCTAATGAAGCTTGTGTTCGTTTCTTAAGTACATCGATCAATGATTCATCATCTCCTAACTCTGCAAACCAAACCACTGACTCAATCCAACTCATCTCTTTACAATCTTCTTTAACCAAACCCAATTCAGGAAATTCCCGGTTTACCAACTCCAACAGATTATTAACCGGACCAAGATACAGTCCAGGAAACGAAGCTCGAACCATGTTCTTGTCTGATCTCTGCAACATAACTCTTACGAACAAATCATCAGAGACTTTATCAGACACGTATTGCCAACGATGTATGATCTTTAAACTACTCTGTTCTGAGAATCTCGTTACGTTAAAGACTGTTACTTTCGGTGGTACATCGACCAAACGTATCTTCCATGAAAGCACAACGCAAAAGCTTGATCCACCACCTCCACGAATCGCCCAGAAGAAATCTTCACCCATCTCTCTTCTCTCAAGAACCCTGCCTCGCGCGTCGACCACACGCGCGTCCGTCACGTGATCGGCTGCTAAACCGTGTTTTCTCATCAGAGTACCGTAACCACCGCCGCTAAAATGTCCTCCGACACCGACGGTGGGGCAAACTCCGGCGGGAAACGCTAAAGTTCGGTTTTTTATACCGATCTCGTGGTATAATTCTCCGATGGTAGCTCCGGTTTGGACCCAAACCGACCGGTTATCGATGTCGAGTGTGATAGACCGGAGATTTCTCAAATCGAGGATTGCGTACGGTTTGTTGTGTGTGATGTAAGAGAGACCTTCGTAATCGTGTCCTCCGCTTCGTGTTCTGAGGTGGATACCGAACCGGCGTGCGCATTTAACCGCCGATTGAACATCTGAAGGTTGAACCGGAGTTAGGATTAAAACCGGTTTAGGTGTATAAGGAGAAGAGAATCTCGGGTTTTGTATTGATGAAGATAAGAGTGAGGAAAAATAAGAGTCGCTTGGTGTGTGTATGACTTTTGTGACTATGTTGGTGTCGTTTAACCGGAGAGAAAGACACTTGAGAAAACCAAACCGGTTAGCTGAAACCGGTTTAGGGATTGATAGAAGGAAGAAGATTGTAGTGAACAAGATTACTAATATAGAGGTGAAGAAGCTTTGGAGTTTCATTTTTTTTTTTTTTTGGTTTCTGCAGCAATGGAATTTAGTTTTAGATTGATGAAGTATAGAAAGAGTAAAAGTAGGTTTTCTAGATAGAAAGGCATTGTCG